CCCCCACAAAAAACAGATCTATGAAGTAGAAATTCAGAAGATGAGCTTTTATTAAAAATAGAGAGGTTCGAGAACTTATTGACTAATCAAGAAAAAATACACCATCAGTAGTAAAACATGAGAGACTGAATTTCATCTATTCTTACTTGCACAAGAACAAGCAAGGTTTTCACAATAAAAAAGGGGGAGATGTGCCATTCTTCTACATTAGGAGCCACACCACCTTACTCTCACATAAGGCTCCACTCAAATGGAGAACGTATCTGTTACTTAAGAGCTCAGACTCCAATGATTTTTTCCACAGGTTTCTTAATAACTGACAAAAAAATTAATGAAACCACCAAAAGCTGAACAAGAGACAAAAAAGAAAATCAAAGAACCCTCTGAAGAAGATTACCGCACCTTGGAGATTATCCGGAATCATTTACCTGCTGTGCTGTTTCAATTCTTTCATTCTCCATCCCCAGCATGGCAAATCCTTTCAGGAGAACATCCTCTGTGGATTCTGGCACCGCGGCCGTCAGCGCAACAGTCAGCGACTGGGACGTCAGGCTGCACAAGTCTTCGATTGGAAGCTGCTCACAAAAAACGCACAAACTTTAGTCGGGCTGTTTACTAAAAATGAGTATATTCAGCTCAACTACAGTTACAGCATCCAAAGCGTCAATTTAAGAAAATTACCAGCATTTACTTTTGAAGTAATCGATGCAATGGATGTTTTATTAATCAATATGATAACACACCAACCACCAGCACAGCTATATACTCAGAAACACCCAACAAATGTACTTACTTAGAGTCAAAAAAAATAAAAGAATTTATCTAAATACTTATATAAGAACTGAAATTGAATATACATCTACTTGACATATCACTGCATTAATTTCCAATTTAACTGGTTATACACTCAGAGAAACATCCTAGAAAAGTATCTGAGAACCTAAGAGCTCAGAATTACGTAGAAGCAAAAATAAACGCCACTACTGTCTGTGCTACACAGCAAGACCACAGCACAGGAATGGTCAAATCTCCTCGTCAGATGCCCTGAGAAAATCTGTAACTTTACATATCTGGGAAATACCATTTCAGATTCTTTCCAAGACTTTTTAGCGAAGAAGTCAAGCTAAAGTTTGTTTTTTTTTTAAAAAAAAAGACAAGGAATAGCGCTGGCTTGATAGGAATCAACAGCCACGATTATTTTTTAAGCAGTAAAAAATATGGAAAGCAGTAAAAATATGGAAAGGAGCAAGTTGAGAGAAGTTGTATTTAAATACAACTGGAGATGCCTATATGGTGAAAACAGAATCCCAGAATTTCTAGGTTGGAAGAGACCTCAAGATCATCGAGTCCAACCTCTGACCTAACACTAACAAGTCAAAAAAACACACACGTTGTTATATGATTATGGTATGAATATGGTTATTATGATTATGTTATATATGTTAAGAACTTCTTTACTGAGAGGGCTGTGAGGCATTGGGATGGGCTGCCCAGGGAGGTGGTGGAGTCACCATCCCTGGAGGTCTTCAAAAGACGTTTAGATGTAGAGCTTAGGGATATGGTTTAGTGGGGACTGTTAGCGTTAGGTCAGAGGTTGAACTCGATGATCTTGAGGTCTCTTCCAACCTAGAAATTCTGTGATTCTGTGCCTCTATGACATTAGGAAAACAGGCTTTTGGATTCAGTTGACAGCAGTGCTATCGCTACGAACATGACCAGCATAAAACCGCAAAGTGCTAGCTCAAAACACCCCGGCACCTCACTAACAAGTCGTTTGCTAATTAAAAAAATCCTGATTTCCTGGTCGCGCTGCTCTGTGCAGGAAGGCACAGCCAGGATCCCGGTGTGGCGGCTCCCGGTCCCCTCCCTACCCCCTGTGGCAGCTCCCTGAGGCTCCTCAGCCCCCCGAGACCCCTCCCCAGGCGCGGGGCACCCCCCGAGCCCCCCGTGAGGCGAGGAGGCTGCGGGGGCTCCTCCCGGGGGAGCGGCACACGGCGCCTCGCCCCCCTCAGCCCCCGCTCACCTCGGGTGGCAGCGGCAGGGCCTCGGCCGCCGCCTTCAGCCGGAGCACGGAGTCCGCCTGGAGCTCGCTGAGCGGGGCGAGGGGCTGCGGGCGGCGGTCCCAGAGGCTCAGGCGGTCCCGGGGCTCCCGGCCCGGCGGCTCCGCCATGGCGGCGGCGGAACCGGGGGAGAGGCGCCGGGGGGAGAGGGGAGGACGCGTGGCGAGGGAGGGGAGGGAGGAGAGGGAGGGGAACGGGGAGGGAGCGGCCCCTGGTGGTGGGAGGCCGGAGGTGGAATGGGGGAATGGGGATGTGGGGGGATAATGGGGGATGGGGGAAATTGGGGAGATAATGGGGAAATGGGGGAGATGGGGGAAATGGGGGAAATGAGGGAGATAATGGGGAAATGGGGGAGATTGGGGAATGGGGGAGAAAATGGGGGAGATAATGGGGTGATGGGGAGATAATGGGGGAATGGGGGAGATGGGGGAGATTGGAGAATGGCAGAATTGGGGAAATGGGGGAGATAATGGGTAAATGGGGGAGATAATGGGGAATGGGGGAGATAATGGGGAAACGGGGGAGATAATGGGGAAACGGGGGAGATAATGGGGAATGGGGGAGATAGTGGGGAAACGGGGGAGATAATGGGGAATGGGGAAAATTAGGGAGATAATGGGAAATGGGGGACATTGGGGAGACTGGGGAATGGGGGAATTGGGGAAATGGGGGAGATAATGGGGAGGTAATGGGGGAATGGGGGAGATAGGGAAATGGGAGAGATAACTGGGAAATTGGGGAGATAATGGGGAAATGGGGGAAATGAGGGAGATAATGGGGAGATGGGGGAGATTGAGGAATGGAGATAATGGGGAATTAAGGGAAATGGGGGAGATGGGGAGATAGGGGAGATTGAGAAATGGGGAATTGGGGAAATGGGATACATGGGGAAATAGGGGAGATGAGGATTGGGGGACACTGGGAATTGTGGAGATGGGGGAATGGGTAAATAGGGAAGATGGGGAAAGGGGGAATTGGGGAAATGGCGGAGATGGGGAAATTGGGGAGATGGAGGCATAGGAGAAATGGGGAATCGGGGAAAAAGGGGAGTTAGGTGAAATGGGGGAGATGGGGAAATTGGGAAGTGGAGGAGATGGGCAAATGGGGGAGATAATGTTGAAATAGGGGAGATGAGGAAGTTGTGAAGATGGGGGAATGGGGAAATGGGGGAGATGGAGGCATGGGGGAAACGGGGAATTGGGTGAAATGGGGGAGATGGGGGAATGGGCAAATGGGGGTAATTAGGAAGTGGAGGACATGGGCAAATGGGGCAGATGGGGTAACGGGGGAGGTAATGGGAAATAGGGGAGATGGAGAAATGGGGAAGTGGTGAACTGCGGGAGATGAGGAAATGGGGGAGATGGGCACAGCCAGCTGAACATGGTGCACAATGGCCTGAGGGAATTGGGGCTGTTGAGCCTGGAGAGAGGAGCCAGTTCCTCAGAACCCTTGGGGGGATCCCCCCCGGCCCCATCAACTTGCGTACCCCTAAGTGGAGTAAGAGGTCCCCAACCATTTCCTCGTGGGCTCTGAGGGCTTCATTCTGCTCCCTGTCCCCATCTGCCAGCCCAGGGGCTGAGTACCTGGAGAACAACCAAAGGCCGAGGCAAAGCAGGCATGAAGCACCTCAGCCTTTCCTCATCTCGTGTCACCAAGTTCCCCTCACACCCAATAAAGGACGGAGATTCTCCTCAGTTTTCCTTTTTTACATATTTATACAAATATTTTTTATTGTCTTTAACAGCAGCAGCCAGATGGAGCTCCAGCTGGGCTTCGGCCCTTCTAATTTTGTCTCTGCGCAGCCTCACCACATCTTCGGAATTCTCCTGAGTGACCCACCCCTTCCAAAGGTCGCAGACCCTCTTCTTCTTCCCAAACGTCCTGTTCAGCCAGGACGGTCATCTTCCAAGACAACTCATCTTTAAGCAGATGGGGACAAATCCTAAACGCATAGGAGCAGGCTTTCTTGAAAAGCATCCAGCCTTCCTGGCCTCCGTTGCCCTTCATTCAGGACTCCACCAACCAGTCCCCTTAACAGGCCAAAATCTGCCCTCCAGAAGCTTTATAACCCCAATCCTTACTTCTCCAAGACTTGAAAACATTTAATTCAAGATCACTGTGCCCAAGACGGCCTCCAACCTTCCCATCACCAAGTCCTTCTCTATTTATGAGCAAAAGTTCATCACTGCCTACCTGAAAAATCAGTAATGGGGAATAATCCAAGAGCCAATTCTTTTAGTTTTTTCCCCAGGGGCTCTTTTTGGAGAGCTGCTCCTTTGGGGTCTCTGTTCTGTTGTTTTTGAGGGGCTTTTTGGTGGGGGATGTGCCTTTTTTGTGTCCTTTTATTTTTTTGAGGGGCTGCCCTATTTTGTTTGGATTCTACCTATTTTTGAGGGGTTCTTTTTTGAGTGCTGCCCTTTGTTGGAAAGAGTTTTTCCCTTTTTTTGGGGGGCAGGGCTCTTTTTTTGAGGGAATTGCCCTTTTGGGGTCTTTTTTTCTGAGGAGGACCTCTTTCTGCATGGCCACCTTCTTTTTTATTATTATTATTAGTCTTTAATTTTTAAGCAGGTCTTTTGGGGGAGTGCCCTTTTTTTTTTTCAGTCGGGTGCCAGCCTTTTGGGGCACTTTTCTTTCCCTTTCTTTTTCTTTCTTTCTTTCTTTCTTTTCTTTCTTTCTTTCGTTTGTTTTTGAGGGGGTCTTTTTTGGGGGCAGCCTTTTTTTATTATTATTTTTTTTTTATTTGGGCTGGGCCTTTTTTCTTATATTTGGTCAGGTTTCTGGATTTTTATTTATTTATTTATTTTTGATTGTTGATGGTGGTCCAGCCTTTTGGAGGTTAGGGTTTGGGGAGATCTTGTTGGTCTTCCATTTTTCAGGTGGGATGTCTTCATCAGGGTCCCAACCTTCTGGGGGTTGGGTATTTTTGAGAAGTTGTTTGTAGGGGGCTGGCCTTTTGGGGGTTGAGTTTTTCTGAGAGGAACTATTCTGGTCTGGTCAGACATTTTTGGGGGGCTTCATTTTTGAGGAACAGTCTCACACAAGCTGTTTATTTCTTTGGTTTGTATGCCTGTTTTGTGATTTTATTTTTTATTTTTTATTGTTTTTCCTGCAGGGGAACCAGCCTTTTTTTGTTAAGATTTTTTGGCAGATTTGTCAGATTTTTTGTTTTTTCTTTTCCAGGATGGGTCAAAATCTATTTTATTTTTTTTTTTGTTAGTTGTTGGTGTTGCTTTTTTTGTTTGTTTGTTTTTACTTCTTTAACTAATGAAAGCAGTCTTTCTTGGACTTACCTTTCTTCTTTTCACATTGGCACCTGCATTATTTGGCCTGAACTGCTCAATACAGAACTTACTTTCTTTTTTTTCCCACCTTTGTAACTGCCCATCACAGTTATAGATCAAAGCAGTTCTTCCCAACACAAGAAATGTCCTCCCTGGACAGGCAGATGAGCACGGGCTTGTCTGAACTTCATTCCTAATTCAAGTTTACATACGAATATGTTCAGAAACCACTTACTCTGAAAACCAAGAACGATACAGTGGAAAAAGCTCTCCTCACACTACGCACAACCGAGAACTGTAGCAACCCCACCTGCCAGTGAAGCTGGTTTATTCCCAGCAAGTTCAGCAGAACTTGCAACACAGGTAGTCTATAAAATCAGAAGCAGATTTTGTATTGCAGCAGGTAAAATGGAAGGCTGTAAAGACATCTCATGGCACTTGCAGTTAAATAAGAACTGAACTATTGCAGTCAAATATTGTACTCTTCTGAAAACAGTAAAAGCCCGAAGCTTTGGTAGTACCTATCCTCCTTTAGAAAAATAAAAATTGTTTTCAACCTCTGACACTTATAAAACACTGTGCATCTGGGTCTCGACAGCGAAAGTGACATTAGGGATCTTCACATTCAGGAATACTTCAAGAGCTGGAAAGGAATACCATCCCATTTGGCTCAGTCTAGAAAATAGTGCACGTCATCCACTTCATCATGTGAGCAAGCCAATGGTACAGGAGCCTTGACATCACTTCTGGGTGACTGGCCACAGTCCTGTGATGACCTCTTCCTTTGGTCATGATCTCAGGCAGGAAGAAGAGAAGATACTCGAGATAACTTACAAGTTGCTCTACATTCAAACAGCGTGGTAGAAGAATGCAGTACAGGCTTCAGTACGTCACAAGTCTAGTTTCTTCAGCTGTTCGTATGTCAGGAAGAACTGAACCCATTATTAAGGAAAACTTTTGCATTCACTCAGTGCAAAATGGTTATTTCACTACTAAAGGATAGCAGCATATGTGCTGAAATATGGAAACTTCCTTTTAGTTCCCTCCTTTGTAGTAGTGCTGGTTGATCATTTTTGTCATGCAGTTCTACGTGGAATAATTCAACCTGCTTCAGAGCACTGCAGTAAAAGGAATGCTTCAAGCCTGGCCAGGCCAATTGTTTACTCAGCCCTATTTCTACAGATCTTCAAGAGAGAACTGAGGAGGCAGGGGAACCCTCTGAGAGCCCTCAGGCTCTTTACTTGGCTTTAAGTAGCTTTGCTCACAGGAAGAGCATGGTGGCATGGTTACTAGGAACTCATTTGGCAGGGCTCTGACCACTTGACCGTTAAAGCACAACTACACGAACTTGTGTTAGGCCAAGATAAATGGAAGACTGCTTACAGCTTCCTCAGGTCCAGAAACAACCCCCCTTCCCAACTCATCTGCTCCATTTGATTTCAAACTAAGCTCCAAATTAAGGAAATGGACAGGTAGGAAATTGAGGGAGTAACTGAAAAGGGGTTTTCAGGATCTTATAAGATTCGCTGTGTAACATCACGTAGGCAATCTGACTGGAAGCAGTTGACTAAGGAAATGGGCAACTAGATGATGTTCCATTAATAAAAAATGATGCTGACATGACACCTTCCATACAAAGATTTGGAACTGTCTGTCAATACGTGCTGCTGTAAGGCTCGTTTCATCTCTTTTGAACACCTTTTAAAAGGATACAATGATATTCCAAGGACCAAGTCTTAGCCAGTTTGGCCAAAACCCTTTATAGAGAGCAAAAAAGCCCTCATTCTTCCAGGTCTGAAAAAAATATAAAATAAAAATAAATATAGCCACATAAACAACAAGAACACATTTACTAGTGAGAGAAATACAGACATCATGTCAGCTACAGGGAATCTACAATACTGAATGATGGCTTAGTGCTGTAATCTTGATTTGCTTTCATTTTTAGGGAAACTTAGAACAATTTCAATTTCCATACCAGAATTATTGCTTGGGCACCAGGTTCTACTTAAGCTGATACACAAGCTACTTACTTGTAACAAGCAATCCAGAGTGCCCTTGTAGTTTGAGTGTGCCCCGTTTCGTTGGCTTCTCTCATTCATCATGCGTGTCCTCACAACATCAACTGGGTTGGATGCAAGGGCTCCAGCCAGCCCACACGTAAAACTGGAGCTAATAAAAGAAGGTTTTAATAAAGGTTCACCTACTACGTTTAAAGAAGCACAAGAATCACTCCACCCCCTACCCCCCAAAAAAAAAGTGCAGCAATGAGTGTTTTTAATGCTTAAAAACTACATCAGCTAATAGACACGGAAAGCACTTTTCATTTACTATAGTACAGAATTTTGAACCTTTGAGAAAGGTTAAAAACAATTCCTAAATAAAATTAGCTTCCACATTATGCGCTATTTGAAGTGTTATTGCACTAAGGTGTACAAACACATCTCAACTGATAAAATAGAATTGGATTGGTGAATACCTATCTTCTCAGAAGAGAAAAATCTGAAGTTTCATTCCACATAACGACAACTAACCAAAGGAGAGTGATGCAAGCAGCTTTCATTATAAAAACTTACAGGAAGTGAGTATATACTGTGTCTCCCATATAGCCAGACATGATAAGGTGCTTCTTGGTAAGGTCATACACCGGCAGTTCCACTCCAACAACAATAGCAGCTCTCTGTGCTGTCAGGGACACCCCCTAGAGGAGGGAAAAAAAAAAGTATAACTCACTTTTATGCACCAGCAGACAGGCCTAGCTTCTCTACTACAAAGCAGCACACCATGAATGGATTTACAACACTGTATGCTCACAAAGCACTAAGTAGTGCAAGTCTTAGACATATCTGTATTTTTGAGCACATACAAATTAATAGCTAAATCACGTGCCCACATAGAATGTTAATTTCCGTTCCTTAACGCTACTCCATCTCTCTGCTTAACCTCCAAATTTGTACATCAGTTGTCAACTAAGACCTCAACAACCAGGTGATAGCAGCTCCCCTTAACACTACCTGAAAAACTGACAAGGTGATGAACATGAACAGAGAAGCAACATGGAGATGATGAGACTTTTGGAAAATCTTTTCTATTTTCCAGCTGTTTCACAACAATCGTCCCTTCTTACAGCCTTCACTTACTGTAGTCGCTGACAGTAATCAGCAGAACAACCTTCAAGACTGAGTACACAAATTCCTGAGCTCCAGCAGATGTTCATTAGTATCTTCACTTCCAAATATTCCAAATGTCTGTGTGTTGTTTTGTTTGTTTGTTTGTTTTTAGTTTTGTTTTGGCTTTTTTTTTTAATAAAAAGAGTAGAGCATACAGATTGTGTTTTACAGAGCATTCTTTAACTAATGCTAGAGCCAGTCACCCTAACTTTTTTTCTTAAATAAGACTGGACTAATGCTTGAATACAATACTTGCAGCAACACTGTTAAAATGCACCAAGACGCCAGCAGTGAAGTAGTCCTCACAAACTACTAGCTACTGACTTACCCATATTTTGTTTGACAATACTGTAGAAATATATGAAATTCACCTGAGTAAGATAAAAAAGTAGTTCATAAAACTTGCCTTCCATAATCCTTTAGTGCCTTCTGTTTGGTAGATCTGTATAAAGTTGCCCATCATTCCTCCTTGAATCACACTACCCTGGGCTTGCATTCTGATCTGAGATTATTTGAAAGAGAAAGAGAAAAATGCTTTTCAAGCAGAAGACCAGTAACAGTTTAATACAATTTTACAAACATGGTAAATTATAATCTTTGAAACAGTAAAGTCAATTTCTCTGCATACAAGGTAACAGCTGACATTACCATTGCCATGATGCAATCTCTGCAAGTACCTTCGCCATCTAAATGTAGCTGCTAATTTTGAATCACTATGGGGTGCAGTTTTTAGCTGCATTAAGTCACTTCTATTTCTGTACTTGCACACTACGCCATTTAGATTAGACTGACAGCTGGGTTCTGCAGGATATCCTTTACAGTGTTCTCACAAGAGCACCTTAAAACGAAAGGTTAAAAAGATTAAGATTTCAGCTACTAGGAGCCATGTTCTTCAACCCTGTGGATTTCTGAGAATGTCCTTTGGACACTGGCAGAGTAACAACCAAATACAAGTTCAGTGACAACCAAGTTCTTGTATCACAGAACATCCTGAGTTGGAAGGAACCCACAAGGATAATCACGTCCAACACTTGGCTCCACATAGAACCATCCAGAAATCAAACCCGCGGAGTCTGTGCCCGAGCACCCTCTGGGTGCAGACCCTTTCCCTAACCCCCAGCCTGACCCTCCCCTGTCCCAGCTCCATGCCGTTCCTTCGGGTCCTGTCGCTGTCCCCAGAGAGCAGAGCTCAGCGCCTGCCCCTCCGCTCCCCTCGTGAGGGAGCTGCAGGCCGCCATGAGGCCTCCCCTCAGCCTGCTCTGCTCAGGGCTGAGCAAACCCAGGGACCTCAGCCCTTTCTCATACACCTTGCCCTCTAGACCCTTCACCACATTTATAGCCCTCCTTTGGGCACTCTCTAACAGCTCTGCCTCATTTAGGATCATCCACAAGCTGGTTATTTAGAAATGCCTCTAAATAACCACACTAGCCCCATGAAGGATTTAGTTCAGTTTTTAGTGGTTTTAGAAGAATATCTTCAAAACTACTACCTGAAGAATTGCCTTAATTTTTCATTAGAGGCATCCATTAACTCAAATGCTATACCTTTGTAATTTAAATACCAACAACCCCTTAAGGTACATGGAAAAGAAGTCCTCGACCATCTTCCATTAAGTTACCAGGTTCTAGAGGTGATGCTTTCACAAATTCTCTTCTGAGTGAATGATGTGGCAGCACTATTTCCACAGGACACTGGATTGCAAAGCCTCTAAGAGAAACAACTTTTCCTACGGGATTTCAGGAATAATATAGCACAACAGCACTCACATGCTGAAACTCTTACCTCTGAATTGATGCTTACCTATTTTGCACTCTAGAATTTTTTATTTTTTTTTAATGCTACCAAGCATCAACCCATACTGATAAAAGGCACAGGAGAGCTTCCACATAAACACTACAGCATGAAAATTAGAGTCATCTTATATGATTCTCTCCCCAGCCCACTCCCAAGAAAAAATATGCATTGAGCTACCTCCCCAACCATTAGTTTCTCAGTACATACTTCCAAATAATACGTGTGGATCTGAAAGAGATTCAAAGAATTAACAGCCTTACTTATTTTTTTGAAGATATAAGAGACTATAACAAGTGGTGCTACAAAACAGTAAATCTTGTATTCATCAACTTCTGTATTTCCTCAATTAAAATACAGAAGAAAATAAGGACAAACTCTACAGAATGCATAATTAATTACCTTTAAGACATCTGTAGGGTTGGCAATAGACGATGAAATTACTCCCGAAAGGATGCCACATAGAACATTTATCATCAGGGTTTCATCTATTCCAAAAACAAGAAAAAGAGATTAGCTGCAGATTTACAAAGTTTAAGATGCATCTGGGCGGGATGATGCCACCTCTACTTTAGTCAGAAAGAGCGCTGACTACAAAAGCCTTAAAATCAGCACTGCCACTTCCTTGCTGGCTCACTTTGTTCTAAATGGCACAAGGAATGTCTTCTTAGAAGACCTCTTCAAACTTCTACAGTAAAACTGCAAATGGTAAACAACCAGCTTCAAGTAAAACAGTCCTCAATTAAACTGGAAGAAAAAAGCACCAACCTTCTGGACGCTCAACAAACATTCTTTTTAAGCTCTGGTAAGTGCCTATTTTTATAGTTCCGTATGAAGCTTGCCGTAGCATTGCAGGTGCAATCCTGTAAAAATAGGTAATGATAATATTTATGCTCAAAATTGAAAAAAGACTGATTAGCAAACTACTTTTTTTTTTTTTTTTAAGCAGGGGACTGAACACAAGACATCTATTAAAGGTTTGTTCATTTAAATCTATACTTTAAACTCACTGCAGACAAAGCAAGGTGGTTTTTTTTGTTTGTTTGTTTTTTAAATAAACACTGTAAGAACATAAATGAAGGCATACCTCAACCTGGGATCTCTAAAATAGCTGGCAAACTTGTCCCAGACAGCTGCAAAGTACACCTTTCCCCCCCATCTTACATCTTCTAAAGAGAAGCATGCACACTGATATATGTGCAAAGCAGAAAAAATAAATTAACAAAGGTTAAGGCCATTTTTCTCCAGCTGCATGATTGAACCACTATAGTAGCATTGTATAGATGGAAAAAATGTCGCATTATTGGACAGAAGAACTTTATGCTTCACTATATTATTTCTCAAGTAGGTTGTTTTCTTTAGAAACATCAAGTGCTGCTGCAGAGTGCAAAGCCTGAAGTAATCCAAGCTTGGGCTTTCTGCTTGCACACAGAGGAGAACATTGCATTTTCTCTAAATACCTGTCAATCTGAAACCCATGAGCTTAACCACTATGGGTTTATAATCAGCAATAAAGCGTTCAGAAGCTAATACTACAAGTCAGTTTGTTTTACCCAGAGTATAAGGCTTTCAGTCCTTCTTCTCTGCATATTCTGACCAGGGCGTGCATCATTCCACGGTAGCGGATCTCTTTATATTTAGCATCATTTACTTGACCTTGAACCTGCAGACGTGTTTTAGTCAGATCAATTGGGAAAGTACCTTAAAGAGAGAAATTCAGAGAAAGTTAAGCAAGGACTTACCTAACCAAAGGAGACAAAGAACATGTCCTAAGAAACTGCAGCTTTTATTAAATACCAGAACATATAAAAACAGTCCTGAAAATAAAAGCATACAGTCTCTTACCAGGACTTTGTTAAAGCAGTTCATTCTACATCACTCTGTTTCTTCTAGACAGCTTGTCAGAGGCCATGCCTGCTTCCTATCCAATTGTTGTCTTCACTATGTTTACAGGCAACATGACAAGCTTATCTACTCTAGCAAAACAAAAGCTGTGCATACTTATGACCAAATCTGTACACACCAAATAATAGAATCCAAAGACAAAGGTCACGTTAAAACAAGACAGGTGTATGAATTTACAGACAGAAGTTTTAAAATTTTAACAAAATTCTGAGCAACACATCGCACAGCATTAAAGCAACACTCCTGTGTTGTACCCTACAAAAGACCTTATAATACTGTGTCATTAATAGCCTGGGAACCAAGCTTACATTAAAAGCACCCATCTCAGTTAAGGAAATCATGTAGACAGCTCCAGAAATGCTTACCGCATTCTGCAGTGATTGATGCTAAACCTCCATAGAGAAAGGGCTTCCAGTTCAGCGCTGACATTATTGATTCTTCTTTCTGTGAAAGAAAGCAAGGATTTAAAGCTTCTACAAATAAAACTAGCATTACATGAATGTATATGCTAACATTTAATAAAGTGCTGTGCCTTGTCCTCTTAAGATGGACCTTCCAAACATGCTAAGGACAGAAATGTTTAATTAATACCTTTGACAATCACAAGACAATAACACTTAAAGGCATCAGAGTTCAAATCTGTGTCCACTGCGTATCTGGTCAACCATTACCCCCATCATACAGGAGGAAAGCAGTCTGTCCCTCGGGCAGGATTTCAAGGAGCACTGCAGCAAAGCACCTCCAGTGGTTCTCACCAAGCCAAACTAGTTTGACTACATCTGACATCAAATGGCATTTGAATACGGTCACTATTAAACTTCTCTCCCCTTTTTCCCGATGTTATCAACATAAGCATGACCTGGTATGCTTAGGCAGAAGATATGGAGGCATTTTGCTTCTGTTAAGGCCTGTTTCTGCTACCAGCTTACAAGGCTCCTTCTTGCTAATGTTATCAGGAAGCAGTGCAAAACCAGGCAGAAAGATGAACTTGCTTTGGGCCACTTCCTCCCTCTAGATATGCTGCTAATCCAGCGTGCAAATGAAGTTAGCGCAAGCTGCAGGTACCGAACATAGATGAGTGGTTACTGCAGCCCTGGCTTTCCTTTTCTCATCTTTCCTTCAGGAGGAAGTTACCTGGGTGTTCGCTCTTCTGACACGACACACCAAAAGAGGCACAAAGGAACTCAAACCATAGAAGTCCAAACAAATACTCTGCCACCAAGCCCAGGGTAATCCAGCTTACTCCTCAGGCCTCTGCAATGCACACCACTGATGTAAGAATGAAACACAAGCAAGGAAGGGCACCCACTATTTTGTCAGAAACAGTTCAGAGATGAACCACCAGCACCTCAGCATGAAAGCGCCACAGCCACAGGAATGCATGACACGGTGCCAGAGAAGGAGCAAATCCAGCTCCAAGCTCCTCACAGCCCCCAGTCCTGCCATCGGGATCGGAGGATCTTTGCTTCATTAAAACAAAACCAAGTTTTGCTTCCCCACCACCAGCCACAGACACAACCTTCGCTTTAAGGCTGCACTGCCAAAATTAAAGGCAGCAGTTAACTTCCCCCCACCCTCAACACATCAAGACAAATTTTTTACTTACAACAGATATAATTTAACTGATATAAAGCCAAAATATAGCCTGACTTCTGCCTCCATCGTATTTCAACCTGCCCAAGCAATGAAGGCTCCTCAGTTTCTGTGTTAGCCCACTGGAATCACACAACGCAGAAACGTGCAAGCCCCGCCAAATAGGATTTAATTTACACACAGACTCACTAACACTGGCTTTATTACTGATACACACATAGGATACCCGACCCCAGAAACCCCACAGCGTGCTGCTCCCTTGACAGAGCTGAGACCCTACAGACATAGTAGGGTCCCATGCCCCTCAGAGGCTCGCCGCACCACTCTCCTCCAATTTGGGATTATTTCAGCCTCTCAGACTTTTGCCCAGCAGTATGGGAAGGAATTAAAGCAGAGAGCAGAGCTTATCTCGAGACACACGACCAAACAGACAGATATCACCGAGCCCTATCGCCGCAGCTCTCTCATTTTCCCAATTCTTGCTCGTTTAGTCAGAATTTCTTCCCGGCACTGCTCAGAAACGTACTAAGCCTCTCCAAAATATCCACGTCGGATGCATCAATGGCGAAGTACCTAAGCGTCCTCTCAGCCTCCAAACGCAGCGGATTCTTCGTTTTTTCCCCCCCAAAAAAATAAAAATAAATGCGCGGCTCAAGGAGTCACTCTTAGCCCCCCGCGGAAGAGCTGAGGTGCCGAGGGCGGTGTTGCCGTCCCCAGCAGGCTGGGAACGGGGAGATTCCCCCACACAGCCTCTGCCAAAGCCGCCGGGTCGATGATTAAAAGACACGAAGAGGGCGAAAAAAAAACCAAAGCCTGTGCTCCGGCCGCCCTCACGCTGCGGCTGCCCCGCCAGCGGGCGGCCTCTGGAGGCTGCCGCCCGCCCCAAGCCGTGCCCCCTTCCCCGCCTCCCGGGGACAGCAGGAGGGGGACATTAAAGGGGCCATGTGGGGCAGGCTGCCCTGTGAGAGCCCTGTCCCCATCCCCAGCCTCTCCTCAGGGCCTCCAGAGGAGGATCCTGCCCATAGGATCCCCCCCGCCCCGTGCTGGGGTGGCCCTGAGGGAGCTGGGGTTGGGGGCACCACACGGAGCGGTAGGGTGCTGTGTTCAGACTTCACAGGCTGCTGCCTCGTTTTAAGAAAGGCTTGGCTTCCAGTTTGACCTTAATTTGTCCCTGGGGTTTCAGTCAGCTCCTTCTGCAGGCAGCCGGTTTTTATTATCTCGAATATGTGAAGCGGGTCCTGCTCAGGCACTCAGGCATTGCAGCTTGCACCTGGCCGCGTTTCTTCAGTTCCCATTAGTACTCACCCACGTAATTCCAGATAAAAGGGAATTCAGGCCACCTCATGTTGCTTTCACCGACTTTTGGATGGGTCCTCTGAATCACCTCTTTCCCTGCCTTTTCAGCCCAGTTCATGCTACAAGATACGTAACGCCTTTATCAGCCGCCAGCAGAACGATCTTGGCGAGCTGCCTCGAGCCTGACATCAGGGCCATATCAGCAGTTGACTTTGGTGCTCAGCATCTCTTCACATGGCTCTGAACGATCCCTGTGTGCCACTGGTCACCCGCTCTTACAGTGCTTTTGTCCAAAAGCCAGCTATTTTCTGCAGGACTGTGTAGGTGTTACAGTTTGACCCATTGGTTCCCGGTTCCCAGGCCCCTAAGCTTACTGCTCCTGATTTTCCTCACACATTTTTATGTTTCTTTTTTAATCATAATCATAACCATTAGCCAGATAACTCATTTACTTTGCTCATGTCACGTTGGCTGCATGGTGAAAGCAAAACCTGGCACATGGAAGTGCTCCCTGCCCTGCCACAGCATTGCCACTTGAGTGAGAAGGAATTAATCTGGCCTTTAGTCATACAGCAAATGACTTTGTTGGGAATATATATATATATATATTTGATGTGTTATTGGCATACATAAAAATATATAATGTTAAATATCCTGGTGTTGTGCTCCAGCTTCTCACGTATGTCATGCAGGCATACCGTGGATGCCATCTTACAGTTTCTGACATAGTGACAGAGCTCAAGGAGAAAGGAAAGTGAAAGCAGGAACAGCAGTAAATGCTATTTCACAGCCTTTTTATTAATACATATTGATGACCTGATTTGAGCTCTTGCATTGGTAGGAGCCAAAAGTCTTTATCATGTCCTGTTTTTGTGGATATAACGGGAACATGTTAACTTGCTTTTAATGTGTAGAGGGACTGAGGCTAGTTCTGGGCTTTCAGTGGAAGAGGTCATACAGCATGAGTTCCCAGCAAGGCAATTCTAGTAAATGCAAACCTGTAATCCAGACAAAATTTTCTGAAAGTGTTGCAATCATCCAGCAGGTCCTAGGAGATTGATTTCTCTTCAGTTCGGAGACTCCCTACAGAGATAATAATTCCCGTGTATGTCACAGGGTTGGATTTGACGGTATTTGAATGAGCAAATGAAAAGGTGTTAAAGATTATCTAATAGGAAGGTGTGACAGAAGGTCTGCTCGCTACTATCCAGTGCTTTCCAACTCCAGCGGGCGATCCGAGAAATGCTGCTGTCCTCTGACTGTTTGTCAAATAAAGATCAATCACAATTGCTTCACGGAAGCTTTTGTCCAGCACGGCACCGCAGCTGAACAGGTAGCAGCTGGATGAAATGCTGCCAACTTGAATGTCAGCAGATGTAATAGAAAGGAAAGCAAACACGTTTCTGTGCCCTACGAAAAGCCAGGCATCACATGGTGTCAGATCCTGGCCCAGCCTTTTGCACAAGAGGAGATGATCTAATGCTGAACGAAGGACACTGGAGTCGGTGCTACGCCACAGAACATGTGGCACAAATGATGTGTTTTCTGCCACTTTTTACCCATTTATTGACAGTCCTGTGAAAGCAGGGTTGCAGCTGAAGTAATTCTGCAAAAACAGAAATAACAACCCATATAAGACAATAGACAGAAAGATGTGGGGGCAGATGACCCCAAGCCAAGTCCATCCCAGTACCGGATTTAGGCTGCAGAAATGCATATGGAGGAAAACTTCAAACTTTCAGTGCTGTTACTGAACTTTAAAGGGTACAAAAGAGCCTCACTATCCTTCTTCAGCCATTATTCCCAGACACAGTCCTGACCCTATGCTCACACCAGAGATGGCTCTGGTCTGATACGTGAGCAGATGCAGCTCTCTAAGTTTATGCCTTTTGCCAGCTGACGGACCTGAATCGCCTTGAAATTGGCACCGGAGCCAGTGTAACAGAAGCAGCAGGAGTGCATGACCTGCACTGAGTTCACCCTTTTTGGAAGCATCTCGCTATTAAGACTGACTCAGCAGCTCACAGGACTTAGCTGCAGGTGCCTGGCAGAGAACAAAAAAAAAAGGAAAAAGTTTGAGGGGCTGCAGTGTGCATCCTGCCTTTAAAGCCACGTCCTGATACCTCTGGCCTCCTGGCTGGGCCGGAGTGGCATTAACCACCAGACTTAACGCAATGCTTAACATTTTCCAACCATCTTCAAGGTGAGAGCAGCGACTGCAAACGAGGCAAAGCGAGCTTGCAGCCTGTAGGCTACCAGCTGGAGCAGGTTTAAAACCTCAGCTTAAGTCTTTGGATAGTGCAAATGAAGGTTATGTCAGGAGACATGAGGGGAACAGGCATGCATACATTGTGCAGGAGCTTTCAGTGGTGGTAGACTTCTTTTGCAGTCTGAGACCCAAAATACAGCCAGGAAAGTGGCTGGAGGCTGAGCTGGACATCTTAGAGGAGCTCCTGAGGGACCTTAGAGGGCCACAGCACCATGTAGACATGCCTCAGGAGACCCAGCACAGCCACCCTTCAGGCTGCAGGACTTAGCAATAGGTTATGTGTTTCCTCCTGGATTGGAGATAAACTTTGAGGATTAGCAATGTTTGTAAATTTTATGGGAAACTAGCCCAGCTCTTGTAGTTTGATACATTAGGGTTTTTATATGGTTCCAAAAGATGTATATCCACGGCTTTTATTATTTTATATCTTAAATTGCAATCTCTACCTGAGAGGCAGGTAGACTGATGCAGGTAGTGCACAGTATAGATGATCTTATCCTCTCCGTACTGTCTGGCACATAGCACAGGCATTAAAATGGTTTGGTTAAAGAGCAGGTGGTGGGGAAAAGCTTCGGTGGGGTGCAGCCTCCTGCAGCTCCATCTGGTTTATCTGAACAGAGCTCGTTCAATTAGCTCAGCAAGTCTCTAATCAGCAAAAAAGATCTTTGTTTAAGCCCTGCCTGCGTCACCACCACAGAAGGAGACGGCTCGCAGACCGAGCTGCCCTCTCATCTGACCATGCCACGCATTCCTATGTGCCAGCCTTTTCTGATCTAAATGCTATCACCCCTACATTCAAAGGGTGTCGAGTAGCAGGTTAGCTGTGCCTGAAAAGATTTACAAGCTCAGTCAGACACTGCCTTCTGGATCGCCGCCCAGAAATGGTTCAAAGAGCTTACTTAAAACATCATAGCTCCTGCAGCAGCGCTGTGATTCCCTATGGAGGGTAATAAAAGACAGCAGCGAGACCTCCAAAACTTCCTTCACGTGCTGCAAGAGGACAGCATTAGCACCTCGGCACGCTGGCATCAGCGCAGCACTTCTCGTGGCAGCAGAAATCTGAATTGGGGCTCTTACAGTCAAAGCCCTTCTGTCTGTGCCACGGGTTTTTGTTTTGGTGTCTTGCCTTAGAAACGACGAGAGCATTTGGCATCCTCATGAACAACATTCTTGGTCAAAAGTTAACTCAGAAAGCTGGGCTGAATCGCTTCTTTCCTTCCTGATTCTTCTAAACCCACTGCAAAACACATGAGCTGCCTGGAAAACAATTGTCCGGGCAGGCCACAACATTTTTTCTCCCATCCCATGCTCTCTCACAATAGTTTTAGCAATGGAGCACATTTGCCAGGTTTAGAGGTTTTTTTAGCATTTGCTGGCCAGTGGTGATGGGATCGGGCCCTCAGCCTTCTCGCTGTCATTTGCTGCTTTCTCCTTTACTTTCCCACTTCAGCAGCATCAAATGCACTGCAACAACAGGCAACGTAAATGCTAACGAACAAAAGGCTCATTAAACGTACCTAGTTGTAGCTGATCTCTCTTAGCCTTGTGAGGAGCGTACTGCAAGAACACCTGGCAAGTCAGAGCTTTCATCATAATAAACATTTCTTAATAATTTCTTAATAATCAGGCAGGAAGCTGATTATTATTTTGTGAAGTTCTCAGGGCAGAAGTTTCGGGAGCGAAAACAGGGAAAGCTTTTTGCCCGGATGCTGACCACCACTCATCCTAAACCAAGGATATTCAAATACTGTTTTAGAAATGGTAATATTAAAATATTTCACGTGCACTGACACTTCAGCAGCTGCTGCAGAAGACGGAGATGAATTTTTAGGGCAGCTGCACCCCCCTCGTGTACACTCAGCCTGAAGCCACACTGCTGCACCACCGCTGAGTCCTGCGCTGTAAATACGGGGACGTAGGCTCAAACACAGCCCACAGAGGGTTTGCTCTGTGGATTCGAGTTGAGGTTTGGCTGTTTGATGGCAGAGCCTGGCCAGCTGTATTCATGCCAGTGCATTGGTCCACGTGGGCTCCTGTATGTCTCCATCCTAAAACCTTCTGGAGCATTCCCTGAGATGTTCCTCGCCGCTGAACACCACGTCCCCAGACACTGATACTCTCCACCCCACTCCCCAACCTACTTCACACTGAAAGAGGTGCTTCCAACCATGAACTTTAAAAGGCACAGCCTCCAAAGGGCAGCCAGGAGATCCATGGGACAGGTAAAAATAAACAATCAGCCCTCTCTTTAAGGACTGCATCTCAGCTCCTGCTGCCTGTGTTTTCAGCCCAGATTTGCATCTTTGA